AACTTAAAGTAAAAAAAAAAAAAATATGCGTCTGCATAACGATGCCGCTTTTGCTGCCAACGGATTTCGACTGCGTGTTGTCTGCTTTCTTTCGGTGGTCGGCTGCACCTTCGGACGCTGCTTTCGACGACTTCTATCGATACGAATGTTAAACGCGCCGCTACTGGACTTGGTCGTCTGCGTCGCCGCCCGCGGTAGATCGTGGCAAGTTTCTTGGCACTATTTTTTACAGAAAAAAGCTACGCTTTGTAATTTTACAAAAAAAGCAAAAAAAACTGCGAAATACATCTTTGACGAAAAGTTTAGATTGCTACGTACAGGCGTCAATTTTTACGGTCCATTTTAGATCGAGCCGGGTGACTTGAGTCATCCTATATACTAGTAATTTTTTGAGAAGGTATAGTCCTGAAGGTCAAAAACCCACGCCAGCGTTTTTGTTTCCTTTTTTTAATTTGTAAATATACCAGTAATTTTACTGCCTCATATATTATGATTGGGAGCTTTTTTACTAGGGTGTTTGATTTTTATACTCATTTTCATTAAAGAAAGAAACAAAGGACATTGAAAAAGCTGTCTTTTGGTAGCCGTTTTTTCTCCAAATGTTCTTATTCTTGAATTAATTATAGGTTGTCTAGAATATCTTGTAGTGCTGTGAAACGAGCAGCCAGAAAAAAATCTGATCCTGCATGTAGAAAGCTCAATTAAAATTGAAACAAATGTGAATTTTTCCTGCAGAAATTTCAAAGCTTGACTCCCTTCACATGAAAAGTAAGACCAAAAAAATTAAACCATCCTCCCGAGGGGAACCATGGGGTCATGCGGAGCATCGCGGATCGTTATTAACGGTGTTAGTAACGTTGTTGAACTTCACGGTCCCGAACCTCAGGTTCTGCTGCTCGACGTTCACGAACCAACGCGGCTTCCCGTTCTCGAAGGTCGGGTTCCGCCACTCGCTTCGTACGTTTGCGTTGAACTTCACGGTCCCGAACCTCAGGTTCTGCTGCTCGACGTTCACGAACCAACGCGGCTTCCCGTCTCCTCTCCTTCACTTGAAGGAGAGGAGACTAGGGGAGGAGAGTTGCGCACGAGCGTGCGGTTTGAGTAGAAGCGAACGCACGCGAAGTGCACGCAGCTGGTAGAGAGAGAGAGAGAGCGGAGAGAGTAACGCGCAGCTGTTGGAGAAAGGAAAGGAGGAGAGTTGCGCATGCGTAGTGTGGGTGCGGACAACGACGCCGCGGGACATAAACCCGAGCAAGAGATACTTCGCGTCTAAAAACTGGCCAGTGTCAATAGCAGTCATGTCTGCAGATGATGGAGTTAGCCATAGTTGTTACTTTCGATAGGCACAACGGGCAGATGAAATATCGCCTTCTGCTTGCTGTGCTTAGAACAAAATGATGTCACTGTTTACAAGCATTGCTAACTCTGCAAGCATGCCCACCATTGGCCCTGGCAAGTTGGTCTCATTTTTCACAAAAGGGAGGCGAAATGTCTTACAATTTCAACAGGTAATGTGCACATTCAGTGAATGCTTAAACTTCTAATGTGCAAACACCAACTTTTTGGGCTCGTTCCGCGGCACTAAGAACCATTGTAGATGCCTAGTCATATTAAATTTCGGCAAGTCCTTCACTGCCAAGGTGGAAGTATTTTCTTGTATACTTCTTTGTGATGTGCAATTGTTTTTATTTTCGGTGTTGTGTAGTTCCAGAATGAATGTATTTCCACAATGAAAGTGCTAATTTTTTTTCTACAGATAGCTGGTGCAACGTGTTCTGTTAAATGGTGATGTTGGCTGTTAAAGCCTGCCTGAAAGTTCTACGAGTGTTTTCCAGATATCTTGTCTACGCAGGCATCATTACCATTTATATTAAGGTAGGACATAATGCTGCTTGTTTAACAACAAAGGCTTGCTTTTCACAAATAAATGTGTGCGACTTTTCAGATGTACTGCAATATTTCCACCTTTTAGCTGAGAATGGGAGTGAAAGGTATGCGGTATTGAATACATTCCTGTTCTGAAAAGACACTTTGGGCAACTTTTCAGAACAGATACCTTTTCAAACAAGTTTCACAATTGGCCTTTGCTGAATAGGAAGCTATTTAATGCCACAAAACTTTCACTCCTATTCAAAGAGGAAGGGTCTCATTACTAGTAAATTCGTCTCTAAAAGTGTCGAAATTCGTCTTCAAAAAGACGAAAGTTACTCCCTCATTACCATAAAATTAATTTCTAAAAGGGTCAAAATTGATCCTCAAAGGAACGAAATTTACTCCCTCATTACCGTAAAATTCATCCCTGAAAGGGTCAAAATTGATCCTTAAAGAGAGGGAAGTTACTTCCCCGTCCCTATAAATATCATCCCTTTAAGTGACAAAGTTAATCCCCAAAGGGACAAAATTTAGTCCCCAATAAAAAAAAGTTAGTCCCCAATCACCACTGTTGATCCTCAAAGGGATCAGAGTTACTTTCCCAATTTTGGACACGACGGCTCTCAAGGAACCATAATTAATCCCCTGAAGAGTTAAACTTAGTCCCTGATGCCCTGCTGTAGAGATCAAAAACACTTCTTTTAACGGATCAAAAGTTTGACCTCAAGGGATCAATAGAAAGGAACTAAACCAAAGTTTTGGCGGTTTGGGGGTTCACTCTTAGTGACACCGATTTAGTCCCCAAAAAGGACGAAGTACTGCTACTTTTTTTGGAAGAGTGCAAGACGCCACCAGCAACGACCTTCAGTAGTGGACGTCTTTCGTCTTAAGCCATACTATGCTCGATAGGAATGAGGACTATTTATCGGGAGAGCGCCTTTAGAGCGCGCGACACTCGAGCGCCGACGTTAGAGCGCGCGACACGAGGGCGCTGCGACATTAGCGCGCTTGACATGAGAGCGCACGACACGAGAGCGCATGACCAGTTCAGCGCGCGGCACGAGAGCACACCCTATTTGAGCGAACACCGCAAAATATGTGAAGTACCCGCGGCTCCAGAGACAGAACAAAATTGTGCGGTGATTTTTGATTGGCTCTGTCTTGAATAAAAAAATAATAACAAAACGGGTAAGACTCTTTCTAACCAATTGTTTACTAACATCGGAGAGAAAAGGGGGCAGGGGAGTGGGCTGAGGCATATAGGTACCGGGAAAGTTTGCAGTTGAGTAGAGCCGCGAGTCTAAGATTTCTTCACAGTGATGCGGTGCGCCTCTTGGATATATTATAAACAGTTCACTTTTTGCTATATTTGGCCTATTCTTGACAGGCATTTGGGCTCCCATCTATTTGGTGGCTATTTAGACGTCTCTCGCATAAGTGTAAATGGTATTCTGACGTCCATGTCCGTAATGAAGAAAGCTCACCGCTAAAAAAGTATTAGTAAAAAACTGATTCAAGGAAACCTCAGCGCAAATTTATCGGACGCAGATCTTTCCAGTCTTTTGACGGATACAGGAAAACCTCCCCTGCAAATCTGTGATATACAAAATCAAAGAGCTAATCAAGCTAGGTCAGCTGCAGTGTTTTTTTTTTTCTGCGAAAATACACTCTGCAAATATTTTTTTTGCTGTCCGTTTTTTGTAACGTTTCTTGGTTTGTCACGCGCAAAAATTTCGTCTACTCATTTTGCAATGTTCTTGCTGAATTCCGCGGCATGAATCCCTGCCAATTTTGCATAAAACACGCTTTGCCCAAACAAGTGGTCGGTCCGGTCGGGCCACTCGCGCTAGACTGGTTGTGCGCTCTCGTTACCGGCGCTTTAAGGACATGCGAGCTAATAGGGAGTTTTCGTAGACAGCGTTTCCCCCTCCGCTAAGCCCTCCACAACGAAGAAGCCGCTACTGCGCCTGCGCGCCGATAGCTTTCGCTGTAGAGTTCCGGGTATCGTAGCGGGTTGCGGAGAGCATTGCGGCACGGCGAAAACGATCTACGAAAACTCCCTAATGTCGCTGCGCTCTCGAGTCGCGCGCTCAAACGTCGCAACGCAATAGTGTCGCGCGCTCTAACGTCGCGGCGCTATAGTGTCGCGCGCGCTAACGTCGCGGCGCTCTCGTGTCGCGCGCGCTAACGTCGTGGCGCTCTACTGTCGGCGCTCAGATTGTGGGACATCTTGTGAATGTAAGGCAAGACAACAGGCCTGAAGAAGGTGGCCCATCGCTTTCACACACCAGTCGTTTTTTCAGCACCGAATAAAGTATCTTCACTGTGTAAAAGGATAAGCAGATTAGGAGAGGAATCGGATGTGCCACAAGAGTCGTGCAAAAAACGATATGTCACTAAGTTCCGCGAGGGCGCCACCAGTGTCACGTACAAAATCCCCTTATCATGTGGTAAGGTGTACGTTGGCCAGACGGGGAGGTGCGTTAATGAGAGGGCCAGAGAGCATGCGTTGGCGATCAGGCAGTCCCCGTCTGGCCACTTAGCGGTCCACTGTGACCGTTGCGATTGCGGGCCCAACTCTGAAAAGTGCAGCCCCATCTTTGGTGACACCTCTGTCATGGGCCATTACAAAACAAAAACGGCAAGAGAAATTCATGAAGCCTTCCTGATTAGGTCCCACCACGACAATACTTGTATAAGCGCTCCCTCTTTGTCATTGAGTGATAAAGAATTCTACTATTTGAGGAACCAATCATGCTGGCATTTGAGGGGGGTGTTTTTTTAGACCATATCTTTGGTATTCTGCCAAGTGTGCCTGCTTTTATATTCTAAATTTTTTTTTTTAATTCTGTCATTTAAATAAACAATTCAGTTCAAAGTTACGCCGCGTCCTGTCTGGTTCTATCTTCGTTTTTGTCCCTGTTGTTTTGGCGTATTACACCATGATGCAAAACCAACTAGCCCAACTAGCCATCCTTATTCATTAATTATGCCGGCAGTTTTGTCCGATTGGCTGGCTGCTTTTGTGACGTCGCATTACCGGTTCCGGGTTTTCTTTCCCGCCTCCCACGCGCCCACACGCTACACGGCTCCTGCGGCGTCCGTGTTCACCGAAACCCGTGGAAAGGATGCCGCTGTGGGACGACGACTTCGTCGATGTCTCTTCATCGTCGAGGACTGTTCATCGGCGTCCGAAAAAGCCACCGCCAGTTGCTACGGGTCCGAAACGCGCGGAAAAGATGGCGTTGTCGGACGACGACTTTGTCGAGGACAACAACTTCGCCGAGGCTCCTTCCTTGGCGCTGCATGGGCAACCACCGGTTGCTACGGCGGTGACCTTCCACGTGGGTGATCGGTTCGGAAGTTTTTGAGATGTTGAGAAGAAGATTGAAGTCTACAGTTCGGCCCAATTTGTGCATCTATAAAGGAGAGATGCACGCCCCATTTCGGCCGCGAAGAAGAGAGTAGGAAAGATTGCGAACAAGATGTCCGAGGCGCTAAAGCACCAGGGCATCAAATACTGCTGCATCCACGGGGGCAAGAAGTTCACAACACAAACGTCTGCTCGAGCGTCTTCGTGAGTGATTGTTTTATCTTTATTTCTTCAAACACGATGCAGGGTTAGGCCTTATTCACACAGCCGGCATTAGGCCACCCCGTGATTTGGAAACGACGGCTTTCCCGTCATTTAAAAAAAATTCGGGCCGGTTTCTCGCTGGAATGTGACGCCGCCGTTAAGTTCCGGTGAGAACCGGTCCGCAGGTTCTCTCAAACGACGGGAAAGTCGTCGTTTGACGTCGTAGTCCCTTACACGCCATGTGGGGTGCCGGTGGCTGGTGCGGAACGCTCTTGATGTGTGAGCGCCCCATGATTACCGTTGAATGTACGCTGTCGCATTCCTCTGGAACGTTAGTTTTTGAGCGCTAGGAATGCCTTTTCGTAGTACGAGTGTGGTGATACGAAGTGTATACTTGACTCGCTTTAAGCTCGGGAAGTTCGGGAGCCGTTAAATTAGGGAGTCGCTCTTTTCACCCAAAAACGGGTGTGATGTCTGTGAAATGAAACAAAATAAGAAAAATAATAGCCAAAATGAGGACTGTTGACTCTCGGCTCGAATACTCGGGGACAGCAGTGCCCTACGTATAATGCGGTTGCTCTTTCCCCGGAAGCACGTCTCAGATCTGCAGTCTGAGACACACAGGACAGCCTTCACTGCCCTCTGTGCTTTAAGCACTCGTCACACAGCAGCATTTGTCTATGTTACATCCTGATTCTTCTATTAAATAGTTTACACTTTCTAACAATTGTGCATTTTGTGCAGGACCTTCAAACACGACTGTGGGTTTCACATCTACCTTGTCGCAAGCAAAGATGAAGCCTACCTCGAGGTTCGAAGTCCATCACTTCAACATGACAACCACACCGTGTCCAAACACCACTTCAGCCACTTGCCTCAGCAGCGGAGATTGCCACCTGACCTGCAAGCCAAAGCCACATCGATGCTGGAGCTCAAGGCGAATAAGAAGTTGCTAAGGGAGCATCTTGAGACTGAAAGCAACAGAGTGATCACACTGAGAGACCTTTCTAACCTCGCAGCCAAAAAGAAGCAAGCGTGTTCAAGAAATGACCTAGAAGCAAGTGTCAAAACGCTCCAACAGAAGTACAAGTCGACAGTTCAATTGCTAACGGACGAGAACAATGAACTTAGAGCGATATTCTTTCATTATGACGCCATGAAAAGATCTTTGAAGGACTACCCTGAAATAATCTTTATTGACGCAACATACAAGTTGCTAGAAACAAGGATGTTATGTTTTCTTATGCTCGTGAAAGATGGAAATGGTGAAAGCGAAATTGTTTCAGTTTGTCTGTTCGCTGAAGATGGTGACACTTTGCGGTGGTTTTTTAATGTGTTTAAAAAACTGAACAAGAGCTGCGACTCCGTGAAGATCACCATGGCTGACAAAGACCTGAAGGAAAGGCAGATTGTCACGGAGCTTCTTCCGCAGTCTTCCTTGCACATCTGTGCTTTCCACACCCTGCAGACGTTCCGACGAGAAATTAGCATACAAAAGCTCGGAATAACAAGGCCAGCTCAAGAAATGGCACTTGATATACTTCACCGAATGGTGTATGCAAAAGATGAAGATCAATACCAACAACTGTACGAAACCCTGAAGTCCTCGTCGTCGAAGGCGGTGCTCGACTACTTCGAGTCTAACTGGCATGGCATCCACCACGAATGGATAATGGGTAGTAAGTGGTCCTGCGGTAACTACCTCAACTCAACAAATAACCGCGCCGAAAGTATCAACGCCAAGTTGAAGAGCACCGTTGAGCGATACAGCTCATTAGAAGACTTTGTGACCAAGTTTTTCTGCTTCGTGCACACAAGGAAGGAGCGGATGCACAAGGCGGCAACATTCTTTCTCAAGAGACGACTCATAACAAACGGTGATAAAGACCTGGAACTATACAGCCGGTTGTTGACTCCATACGCATTCAAGCACGTGGAACGTCACCTTCACTTTTCCAGCGGACCCTCTGCAGACACATGATGCAACGTCTGCCACTGATTGTACGTGTGGTTTCAGAAAGGCAATGCTCCTGCCCTACTGCCACATGCTCACTGCACGAAGCCAGCTCGGGTTGAGCGAATTTGACCGTAGTCTCTATGCACAGCGGCGGACTGCAGAACACTACAAGAAGAGCCGAGGGGTGCCGCTTGCTGCGGTACAAGAGCCGTAACCCCTTTGTGTTGATAGGCAGTGTTATGTAGCGGCTGGCAAGCTGGCGCCCATCGGCTCGTGACCATCGGCTGCGCTCGCACCGAGCGCTTGAGAGCCGCGGGGCACGAGCAGACAGCGCCAGGCTAGGAACGTTGCGCCAGGCTCAATCGAAGGCTCCATCAGAATAAATCGATTAGACAACCATCCAAGGTCTACATCTCGTATTTAACGTTGGCAACGAGGGCGGAAGAGAACTCCAGCAGCGGTTCAAGGATGACTGCGACACAAGGCAAGCTAGAAGAATTCCAAGGGACAGGATGGTCGGTCTGGGCGGAGCGATTGGAATTCTTCTTCCAGGCAAACGACATAACGGACCACGGGAAGAAGAGAGCCCTGCTGCTGACCCTTTGTGGCGCTGAAACCTACGAGACTGTGCAAGCGCTGACGGCCCCGAGGAAGCCCGGCGAAGTTGCCTTTGAAAGCATCATGTCCATGCTCCAACAACATTACGATCCACGGCCTTCGGAACTATTCAGCCGAAGCCAATTTTAACGCCGCGACCAACAGCCGGGTGAGTCCATCGCTACCTATGTGGCGGAATTAAAGAAATTAGCCGCCAACTGCAATTTCGCCGTGCTGACACCTCTCTCGGTGGCCACATCTAGCGCCGGAGCATCGACCGCTTCAACTAGCGCTGAAGGACGAGCGGCCGCCGCCCCTTTGACATTGAATCCAACCATGCTGCCGCTGGATGTAATGCTGAGAGACCGTTTGATGTGCGGTGTGCAAGATGAGCGTCTGCAGCAACGGCTTTTCGCAGAGCAAACGCTCACGTTCAAGCAAGCATACGACATGGCAACAAGACTGGAAAGTGCGGTAAAACAGCAACAGGAGCTTAAAACTCCAAAGATGGAACTGCATAGGGTCACACAACCACAGGCTACGAAACAGACCTCGGATCGAGATCAAACGCAACCGGATCTACGATGTTACCGCTGCCATGGACGGCACAGGCAAGATAATTGCCCATTCAGCAGGGTAGCGTGCCGTTTCTGTGAAAAAATAGGACGCATCGAAAAAGCTTGTCGAAACATGATGAGGACTGGCACACGCCACTCAACCCATCAGATGAACTGCGGCGCAGAAGAGAACGCCCTAGAATCACAAAGTGGAGCTTCTGTTAAAAGCTACGGGATGGACATGCAAGAGCTGAACGCACAACGTGCAACCAGTTTCGTTCCCAAGTACCTGGTGACCCTCAAGGTCGAGGGAAAGTTACTAGTGTGGGCATTGGCATACATTGACCGCCCACAGATGAAAAAGAAGAAAGGGAGAAGGAAGGAGCTCGGGACACGAGAGATCAACGGGCTCTCAAGCCGCGCGCTCGACCGTTCCGGCAAGCAGTGAACATCACCGACCCGTTTATCCTTGTAAATAATGTACATAAATATGTAGTGCCAAGACTTTGGTTCCTACATATTTGGTGACCCGGTTACTCCACCATCCCTGACCGTCTTCATCGAAACCAGCCTCACCATGACCACCAATCAAGAGGACGGAAATATCGCGGCGGTTCGTCTTCGCCTTCCTCAGTTCTGGCCATCTGATCCTCTCTTGTGGTTCGCCCAAGTGGAAGCGCAATTCGCCACAGCAAAAATCACCGGACAACTTACGAAATTCCACCACATCATCGCAGTTTTGTCACCGGAAATTGCGACAGAGGTGCGAACCTCATCCTCGCTCCACCACCCCAGAACCCTTATGATACCCTAAAAGCTGAGCTGGTGAGGCGAACATCCATTTCTGAGCAACGACGGCTCCAACAGTCGCTGACGTCCGAAGAAGTTGGTGACAGGACACCGTCCCAAAGGCTTCGCCGCCTCCAGCAACTACTCGGAGACTCTCCGACCACTTTTGATCCCTCGCTTCTGAAGGAATTGTTCCTCCAACGTTTGCCGGCGAACGTCAGAATGGTGCTCGCACCAACAGCGAATATTTCCATCGACGCCTTAGCTCAGCTGGCGGACAGAGTCGCCGAAGTGGCCTCCCCTAACATCTCTATGGTTGCTTCAAGTTCCCACAAATCAGCAACCGACGCTTCAACACATGACGTTCCACAATCTACTGCTATGGAGGACATGCGGCAGCAGATCAACCGCCTGGCGTTGCAAGTGAACGCACTCGTAACAGGGGCTCAGTCCAGATCACGACATGAGTCAAGATCCCCCTCAAGACGACGATCTTCAAATCCACCATCACGAGCTGGTTCCCCTCCGCCAGGAATCTGCTGGTACCACTGGAAATTTGGCAGCAAGGCCCACAAAATGTCGCGCGCCATGCAGGGCGTCGGAAAACTGCCCAGCGCCCCGCTAGAGGCGGCCAGTCGGAGCGCTCGCCATCCCACCCGCCTCTTTTTCGTAACCGACCAAAACTCCAAGCTACGCTTTCTCGTTGATACGGGCGCCGAGGTGAGCATCCTTCCCGTACCGCCAAGCATCCATCCGAGTAAGAGACAGCCGTGTACATTGCAGGCTGCCAACAAGACACCAATTGCAACTTATGAAGAACGTTCCCTCACCCTCGACATAGGGCTCCGCAGAACGTTTCGCTGGGTATTCCTCATCGCTGCGGTTTCCTACCCCATACTTGGAGCTGATTTCCTCCGTCATTATTACCTCCTTGTAGACATGCTTCGTCTTCGCCTGGTAGACGACACCACTCGTTTGACTGTACAGGGAGTAAGAATGACGTCGCCTCTTCCTCCCCCGTCCATTCCTCATCACTCTCCGACACCTTACGATAGACTTCTTAATGAATACAAGAGTCTGACGTGTCCTAATAATTTTTCGAAACCGGTACCACACGATGTGACGCATCATATTGTTACCACGGGTGCTCCCACCTATTCTCGACCACGAAGGCTGGCTCCAGAACGTCTCAAGATTGCCAGGGCCGAATTCGAGCATATGCTTGAATTGGGCATCATCCGTCCATCCTCGAGTCCATGGGCCTCGCCCCTCCATATGGTGCCTAAGAAAGAACCTGGAGACTGGCTCCCTTGCGGAGACTATCGCGCCCTTAACAACGCCACTCTTCCGGACAGATATCCAATACCACATATTCACGACTTTTCGCTCTCTCTTCGCGGCTCCACTATTTTTTCGAAAATAGATCTCGTCAAGGCCTACCATCAGATACCTGTGGAGCCGGCAGACGTTCCCAAGACGGCCGTTACAACACCTTTCGGCCTTTTCGAGTTTCTCCGGATGCCGTTCGGACTCAGAAATGCAGCCCAAACCTTTCAGCGGTTCATTGACACCGTCCTTCAAGGCTTGCCTTTCTGCTTCGCATACGTCGACGATCTACTAGTTTTCAGCCAGGATGAGACCCAACACGTCCAACACCTGCGGCAGCTGTTCCAGCGCCTCGCCGACTATGGAGTCAATATTAACCGAGGAAAATGCAAGCTGGCAGCAACAACACTCGAATTTCTGGGCCACGAAGTTAACCAACATGGCATACGACCTCTCACACAAAAGGTGGAAGCTATCAACAATTTCCCAATACCTAAAACCATTCGCCAACTCCGGGAATTCCTTGGGCTTGTCAACTTTTATAGAAGATTTGTTCCTCAGTGCGCCGCAGTCCTGTCACCGCTGACCACACTCCTAAAAGGGAGCAAGCCCCCGTCAACCCCCTTAGAATGGACTTCGACTGCAGAGCAGACTTTCAGCCGAATTAAGGGTGAACTGACAAACGCTACACTTCTTTCACATCCTCAACACGACACAAAAACGAACATTATGGTCGACGCCTCTGAAGTTGCAGTAGGTGCCGTTCTACAGCAGTTGATAGAGGGAATCTGGAAGCCTATTGCTTTCTTTTCGAGAACGCTCACATCAGCGGAACAACGCTACAGCACCTTCGGGCGCGAGCTGTTGGCGATCTACACTGCTATAAGGCATTTTCGAAATTTTCTACAAGGCACGCAGTTCTATGTACTTACGGACCACAAACCTCTCACATACGCCTTGCAAGGTGGCAGGGACACATATTCACCTCGCGAAACAAGGCACTTGGCTTACATCGCCGAGTTTACAACCAACATCCGTCACGTGAAAGGCGTCGATAATCCTGTAGCCGACGCGTTGTCCCGGTGTGCTTCGTTTTCTGGCGGACTGAGCTTTCCGCCCGCTGTCGATTTTGATGTCATTAGCTCAGCGCAACAACGGGACAAGGAGCTTCAACAGATGCGTCAATTCCCTGGTCGACTCATATTCGATGAGATTATCTTACCTACGTCTACCAAGAAAATAGTCTGCGACCTGTCAACAGGCACACCACGACCCTTCATACCCACCGACTTCCGCAAACAAGTCTTTGACTCCATGCACGGCCTTTCCCACCCTGGCATTCGGGCTACACAAAAAATTATAACTGAGCGATTTCTCTGGCCCGGAATCAACACAGACGTACGCGGCTGGACCAGAACCTGCATCGAATGCCAGAAGTCGAAGGTCCAGCGTCATACTTACGCGCCATTTCAGTCATTCCCAACTACCACAGAACGTTTCGACCACGTCCACATCGACATTGTGGGACCCCTCCCACCATGTGAGGGGTTCCGCTACCTCCTTACCTGCGTCGACAGGTTTACCCGTTGGCCGGAGGCACTTCCAATCCAAGACATCCGAGCGGACACCGTGGCTCGTACCTTCATCCAGGGCTGGATTTCCCGATTCGGCGTCCCATCCACTATCACAACCGACCGGGGACGTCAGTTTGAGTCTGCACTTTTCCACCAACTACTCTCAGTTTTAGGAACAAGC